GGAGCTGGCTCCCTGAACGTCCTTCCCCACCTACTCACCTTTGAGGTTCAGCCCCAGGTCACTCATGTCACTCTCTCCCTAGCTATTCAGCTTTCCATGTACGCCCCACACCCCTCCCCCACCTCCTGGCTTCCTTCTTTGGGACAGCACTTATGTTAGTTCATCTTGCTTCACATTTGTGGTTAACATGTCAGGATCCTAAGTCTCAGATTATAAACTCCATGGAGACAAGAGGGTTTTAAGGCACCTTCATTTCCCCATAAGGTCTGGTACGGAACTTGCTCTCGGTGCACACTCACTAAATGGTCTTAGAACAAACAACATTATCCTCTGACTGCATAGGAGATGTCAGAATTTGTCCTGGAATAACCATAATAGCGCCTTTGCATATAATGGCAGGTGATTCTCAGAATGCTCTCATGTTTGCTCCCCATTCCCTGAAAGGAAGAAAGAGGAGTTTGCTGCTCCCACTGTGCAGCTGAGGAAACAGACTCAGAGAGGCTAAAAGCTTTGTACAAGGTCACACAGCAGTAAACATGAGAGCCAGGACTAGAATTCACATCTTCTGATTCATGGCCTAGTACTCTTCCACTGCACACCCTGCTTCTGTTGTGCTTTAGAGAATTCTTCACTGTTTAATCATATCTGGTATATTGTTAGCATATCTGCCTGTCACATTAAAGTCTAACTATGATTTTGGGTTCCAGAGAACAAGAGTCAACAAACAGAATCAGACATAACTATAAACTATGAAAAGTGGACTTTCTTATGTGTTTCAAGAAATTTTTAAACCACATTTTACTTAAGCACTAAATGCAAATATACTCTACAGGTACCATCTGTAGCTATAATCGACACTCTAAAATGCTGATAGTAGTAAATACGTGTGCTGTATCACCTCTATTTGCCTCTCCATATCTACTCTCCCTCTTTTCCACCCTGCGCTGAGCCCCACGTGACCTATATGGACTTTTTTTCCCACAATTCCCTTGCCATCTGGTTTCCATTTGGGTTCACTCAAAGTGAGTCCAGGAGGAGACTGAGGTTAGCTATTTCTTCCCTTGCCTCCCTCTCTGAGGCACTGCCTCAGACTGGTTGTGACCCATACCTGAAGTTCCTGGTTCTATTCAGGTGGCCCTCTCCATATAGCTCTTTCTCTGACCCTTTAAAAACATGTCCATGGAAATCATTCAACCATTTGGAACCATGGGAAGCCACCTCTTAGACCTCCATCTCCAAGGAGTGAAAGGGACCAAGCCCTTGCTACTATACTCAGAAGTCCTCGCCACACGTCCCATAGGCTGCTCCCACGGTGACTGAGTACAGCAGATCTGTCCCTGGGAGACACAGGCCCCTCTGATGGCCTTTCTCAGACTGCACAGCACTCAAAGACACTCCCAGACAGCCTCCCTCTCTCTCTTTTTTAACTTGGGGTCAGATTTGTACTGCGATCCAACAACTCCCTGTCTTCCCCACCTTGCTGCCTATTTTCTCTCAAAAGCATTTTCCCTAATAAAATCATTGCACATTTCATCCTATCTTCGCATCTGCTTCTCTGAGAACACAGACTAATACCACACCAATGAATATTCAGCCTTGAAAATTTAGCTTTAATAAATTAAATATACAGAAACAAGAGAACTACTCTTGCTGGTTAAAGGCTGTCTAAAGTCATAAATAATGAGTTTTGTAATACACGGCGTCTAGATCTAACTAATTACTAAATCATCCATATTAACGTGGTATCATTTTCTCTAGTATGATTTTATAAAGTATGATTTTTAACCTATCTCCAAAACTTGATCCCTTCCTAAATGTCCAACACAGGCTTCCAATCCCTTATTCAAAATCCTGGAGACCATATATATCTTGGATTTCAAACTTTTCATACTTTAGAAAAGTAAATTTGCCATATTTGACTAACCCAGTAGGTCTGAGGCAGCACCTTATAACCAAATACATTAGTATTTCTTCCAGAAAATATACAAATGTTAACACAAGTGGGGAAAAAAAAACAAATAGTCTCAAGATAGTTCAGGAAAGGGTTTGCCACCAAATGAGTTCAGCAAAGGTCAGGTTGTGCCGCCGTATGAATTATTTTTTTAAAAAATGGTTTTCTGAGCTTTTTGAATTTCTGACTTGAGGATAAGGGATTATAAATGAATATATCCACACTACAGAAAAATATGCAGCCCTTTGAAAAAAAACAAATATGCCTTTGCGCTAACAGAGAAGAGTGACTGGCCAGGCCACAGTGTTGGATGGAGAAAGTGCTGAACGGAACAACTTGGAAAGGCAGCAATACACTGTGCACATACTGACTGGGGAGAGAACGGTAGAGGCGACCTTCGCCTGTCAAGCAGCCATTCCCCACCTCTCATTACCCACAATCCTTTGTAATGACTTCATCTCTGGTTAGGAACTACCTTGGAAATAGTTTATGAGAATTGATTGTGATGTAGACATATTTTCAACTATGAACTTATTTATATTATTTATGAGACAGAGAGAATGAGTTCACCCAGTCAAACGGCCTACGTGATGGGAGGGCCAGTAACTAAAATACCATTCATAAACTGGGAGCTGAGATAGTACACCATGGAAATGTATTTAGGATACTGAATTAGGTTCGTCTGGCAAGGCCAAGGACACAAAATATGAAAAAATAAACACTGGCGCCCCTACAGTAGACCTGAGACTTCCAGCTATCCTTTCCCATATCAGAGAGGACGCGGGCTACTGGAGGTGAGTGTTCCCACTAGGCACTCCTCCCGCAACGCCCAATGCTGGACTTCCTCATCTGCCTCAGGGGCCCCTGTTCCGCCACTCATGAGTGACACCTTGCTTCATCAACCACTGAGGCAGCCAAGAACCAGAGTAGAGGCTGTTCACCCTCCCCCCTTGCCCTGCTTTCTTCCTAAACCTTTTCATTCTAAACGATAAAAACCCACAAACAAGAAAAGATTGGGGAGCAAGGAGAAAAAAAATTAGGGAGGAAATACTCTCTCTGGTCTCTAAATAGCCCTGGGAAAAACTGTCTGCAATGGATAAAAGTCAGGGAATTATAATTAGAAGATGGAAATTCAAATCTAATGTAGTAACGTTCACTTTGCATTTTATTTATTTGGTAATGATGGTATTTTTTTTCACAATAAGGATGTATTCCTGACTTCATGATTTTAAAAGACATCAGATTTTAATTACAGGCATAATAGAGAACAATATTAATTAATATACATCAAGTGCTATTAGTATTCTCTCTGCATGGCACTTTAACAAACATCATTCCATCTGGGAGCTGTCTATTCAACCTCCCGAGTCCATGGCTCTGTCCTTGGCATGGGAGATACCCCAGTGAACAAAGCCTGTGTGAAGCTTACCCACAAGAAGCAGGCAAACCACTGTGGAGACAGCCATTAAACAAGCTATTGCACATTTAATGATTTGATTTCACTTGTGGCAAGTGCTATGGAGGAGTAGTACAGAGTGACCAGTCAGGTGCTTGTAACAGTCTCTGAAGTGGATCTCATTCTCAATTACGGATAAAGAGTTATCATTAATATTTGTAACATTAAGGTACAGTAATTAGAATAATGTAAAATATCCTGAACAAATAATAATTATAATTATCACTATTATAATAATGACTTGGGAAATTATTTTATATCAACTGGTCAATGAGGAAAAGCATGGGAATAAATGAGGAAGAAAGTCTAAATGTGTGAGACAGTATATGGATAATTACTGCCAAAGAATTTCAAAAGCACTGTTGGATTCCTTCACAGAGGAAAATTTCTCCATGCAGAGGCTTAGAGACCTTCAGTACAAGACAGCCACCCCACCTCCAGGACAGCGAGATACTAACAGAAGGACAACCTGGGAACAAACATGAGCTTTGTATTTTCCAAAGATATATCCTGCATTTTCCAAGACAGATGTCATTTTGAATACTTGGTCCCTTTGTGCCAATACACCACTAAAACAATCTGGAAATAGCAATATTTTGATGTTTACACCACACCCAAGATTACCTCTTGAACTTAGAAGTAACACAAAAGTCCTAATCAGATCAAAAACACAGTTTTGCAAACTACTGCAGCACTAAATGGTAAAAGATGAACATCTTCTATCAAGACCTGTTGCTCTAAACTAGAAACCCCATTACCATGGTTTCAAAGTTGCCATAATAAAGTATTCTTCAATTCTGAATGAGACCCCGTGGAAAGGGCACTTCCAGATGTTGAAAGCGGGGCATCCCATCAAAATAACATGTGATAAGTTGTTTCTTGCTTATCTCCCTATGTGCGCTGGCAACCCTAGTAACTCCACAGAGATTCTCTGAAATAAATACTCCATGTGTCTCTTTACTCAGTGAAGAAAAACGCCTTGTAATTAGAATTCTAGGTGCATGGGTGTCTCCTGACAGCTCACAATGGAAAAGATATCAGTTGATTTATTATACAAAATGAGTGCATCATAAGGAATTCAGACTTGTGCTAACGAGACAGCCAACCTTTGCTGCGACCTTACTTTGCTTCACTTTAATTTTTGCTGGCACACGATTGTTATAAAAGAAAACTATGTTCTATTAAGGAGATGATGAAGCCATGACACTTGTGCTACCACTGCCCCTTTCCCTACCACAGTAAACCCTTCACTCTCTAGGACAGACTTGACCTCAGAGAACAGCTTAACAGAGAGTTCCAAGTAGCTACTCCCCATAAACTGAAGGAAACACAAGAGTCAGAGTCATCTGCCTATCCTCATGTAGACTATCTTATTTAACATTCACAATGCTGGGTTCCATGACACCAACTGGATTCCATCAGACTTAAGCTGTTTCATTTTTAAGACCTATCTTTGATATTGCTAAGGAATATGAATGGAATGAGAAGAAAAATGAAGCGAAAGTCACCATCAAGTCAATTACACTGTTCACCTTCCTCAGTTTCCATCAGCTGTACCATCAGCAGATAAGATTACATTAGCCAATCACTGACCTTATGGAGTGCAGGAGCCAAGACAGGTACCAAGAATCCATTGTAAATATAATTAACAAGTTGACTGCGAATCAAGGGGTGCGCCACCTAAGAGAGAAACAGGTAGTCAAGAAAAAGACAAAGAGTTTAATCTTTTGGTCTTCTTAAAATCACATTTCTGTGAACATCCTACTTAAAAAAAGGAAATTCAAAATTTGGCCTTTTATTCCATGGTTAAAAAATAATTCAGACTTCAAACCATTACGTAATTTTTTTCAGATGGCTTATTCCAGGAGAAACAGCTGGGACTTTCAAATTTAAAAACTGGTAATTTTAGGGGTGCCTGGGTGGCTCAGTCGCTTAAGCATCTGACTCAATTTTGGCTCAGATCATGATCTCAAGGTTCATGGGATTGAGTCCCACGTTGGGCTCTGCCCTGACAGCACAGAGCCTGCTTGGGATTCTTTCTCCCCCTCTCTCTGCCCCTCCCCTGTTCGCACTCTCTCAAAATAAATTAATAAACTTTTCAAAAAATTGGTAATTTCAAGTTTCTTCTTAAAAACAAACAGATAACAGATTGATTATGTATAAGGACACATAAATTAAAATTAACAAACTGTAAAGTATATTTTTGCCCCATATACTTCATCTATGTCCCATTCCAACTTGTGACTAAAAAAAGTATAACTACTAATGTGGATAACTCAATACATTTATTTTGCTAGCAGAAAGAATTCATGTTAAAGATGCATTTTCTAACGATCATTTATATTGAGGAGGAAGGCATTTAGAAAATCTTTTCATAAAAAACAAGATTAGATTCTGTTCGAAAGCAGAAAACATTACCAGAGGTACAACTCTTCCTATGTTTGATTTTTAAAATATATTTAAAATATATTTAGCATGAATAACACTTTACTAATATCTTTTATGAGTAATCTTTTTGGTAATACCCCCAAACAAAAAAATCTTCAAAGTATATGGCCTTGATTTCAAAATATAGTATGAAATACCTCATTTCTCTATCTTTTACCAGGCCTGTTAGCTTAACTTCTCTTTCTTAAAAAAATATAATAAAATCAAACAATAAAGTGAAATGCAATTTCTAGGGAAGTAAAGCTAGATCTTTAAATTACTGATAATCTCTCTGTGTGTACATTTAGGAAGGAACTAATAGTTTCATCTTTTTTATTTCCACACACTTCTGCAAGAAATGTTGATAGACTGTAATATTAAAGAAAAAAACCTTAAGATACAATCCATTTATCTTATATATAAATAAAACTTCCTTTGACTTAGCAATAAAAATGAGATAGGAACTAAAGTAATTTACTTTCATTTTCTTCCAGAAGCTATTGCTTTATTTGGTAGATAAACAGATTATAACTAACATTTTTCACCTTACAATCAACATAAGGAAAACTTGATTTCTTAATAAATCCAATATGAAGGTAATATTTATATTGTATAGAAATAAAGCATTTTTATGAAAAACCACTATATCCTTAAATATATATAAAATCTGATTTTTATTGAAAATAGTAACAAGAAATCTGAAGGTAAAAATCTAATCAAGAAGCCAAATATACTAGAGTTCACTGGTTGTTTTTTCCCCGAAGCAGACCAATTTCAAAGCACAGATTTAATTTGTGTTGCTAAGAAGATGCTTAACTTCTTCTAAATTCAATTGGGATAACAATATTCTTTATGTAGCATGCACCATTAAGCAAAATAAAGTGTTTTCCTTTGTATATTCCCAAGAAGACCTTGAAGTAAGAGTGGCATAATTTGGTATACTTAGAAGCCTAAAAATATATATTTAATGAGTGAAGCATTGAACTTATTTTTGATGGTTAAGTGGATAAGCAAAACAGAATCAACACTTTTTATAAGGAAGATAAAGAAAATCTACTCATTTTTTTCTCAATTAAAACTTCCTCCAAACCTATAAACTTGTATTTTTGTTCATTCAAGGACATTCAGTATGCTTAAAATAAAGCGCCAGTATTCCATAAACATTAAAACTTTAAAAAGGAATGCTGATAAGCTGATCTTTCACAGTGCTTGTACCCTGAATGCATCATCACAAAGGGCTCCTCTGTTGTGCCCTGGTACCCACCTGTATGACAGCATTACAGAACTCTAGGGAGTTCATGAACTGAACAAGAGCAGGGAGAAGGAGCCAGTCATCTTTCAGAAGGCAGTGCCATTCCTCACTTTTCTCTTCGAGCTTTGTAGGCAGAGAAGAGTAGAGACCACTGAGCCCGGTTGCAAGTACCTGTGTTCAGACATAAAAATAAGCTCTTTTCCAAAGTTCTTAGCCCGCAACTCACAGCTGCCAGGTGATGCCAATGTCACTGGTCCAAAGACTGCACTCCAAGCAGAAAGGTATTCAAATATTCAAAAATATCAGCTAGCGAGGAAGCACTCAACAGGTGATGGGTTCAACTCCAGCAGAAGACACAGAAGCACCAGAGGGATTTGGCTTACACGCACATAGTTAATACAGACTGCTGATCTCTTACGTGCCAGGCATATGCTGAGCTGGGGGTACAGGGAGTAAGGGAGAAACATGCAGAAATGAAGAAAATGTGAGTCTGCCCTGAAGGTGTTCAGGAGAGAGGCAGACCCAAATACAATATGTTACAGTACAACACACCAAGTTCAAATCCAGAGAAGGACTAAGACAGTTCAGGACGGAAGATCGCACAGGTTAAGAACCATGAGTAACTTTATGAGAAAGATTCCTACAGACGTATTAAAGGTCATGACCAATACGCACATGTTTACAGTTTAGAAAGCACCTCAACCTGATCTCTACAAATTATAGCAAGAAGTGGGGGTCATGCACCAGTTAGATGTGATGATGACCATTCAAACAGAGCTAAGGTGGGTCTAAGCTGAAGCATCAGCAGTGAGAGAAGAGAGGAGGAAATAAAGCTGAGTATCATGTGTGAAGTGGCTGTGAGAGGGCTCTAGGTAGGCCTCTATCAATCCAGTAGTAATCCAAAGGTCACACGGTTTACATCCTCCCTCAGTGCTAACATGAAATTTTCAGCATTTGAGCTTAGTTGGTGAGGGTGAATGAGAACTCAAATCTGCCAGGTTATTCAGGTTGGGCTTTAGGAAAATAGTGATGCTTTTTTATTTATTTATTTTTTTTTAAGAGAGAGTGTGTGTGTGTGTGTGAGCAGGGGAGGGGAGAGAGAGAGAAGGAGAGAGAGAGAGAGAGAGAGAGAGAGTCTTAAACAGGCTCCATGCCCATCAGGGAGCCCAAGGCAAGCTCATTCTCACACAGTGAGATCACGACCTGAGCTGAAATCAAGAGTCAGATGCTTAACCGAGAACTACCCAGGTGCCCTGGTGATGTCTTTAATAGAGATAGAAGTGTAAGAAAGAAACACATTTACAGTGGGTGCCTGTTGATTTTTATCTTGCACAGTGTAAGACCAAGGAAAACAATTAATTACACAGTACTAGAGGTCTCTCAAATGGGAAGTGATGCTAGCCAAACAGTACCTTAGAGATCCCAATCTGGCAGCCATGCAAATAACAGGCAGGAGTGGCCCAGAACAGATGCAATGAGGTGATCTATAAGAGGCACTGCTCCAGGGTAAATGTTAGGTTTATGAGGAATTCAAATCGGATTGAACACTCAAGGAAACATCCAATCCTGAGTAAGCCCCAGAAAAGAAAGACTGAAGTATTCATTGATCTGACAGTCTAGTAAGAGATGAACAGGCCAATTATAATAGTGCAATAAATACTCAAAATCTGGAAGAGAAAAAATACAGTACTGTGGATATTCAAAAGGCTCTTAACTTGGGGGACTGGGAATAGGAAATGTTCTCAACAGAACTGATGTCCAGGCTGCTGAAGAATAAATACAAGTTAGTCCAATAAAGAGCCTTGGAAGGGAGACTATTCGAAGCAGAGGATGTACAAAAGCTCAAAGGGGTATGAAAAGATGGCATCCTTTAGGAGTGAAGGGAAGTGCAACGTTACTGGAATGTAAAGATAGAGAGAGGGTAGAAAGACCCAGGCAGGGTCAGATCGTGCAGGGTTTTGGAGGCCAGGGAAACGAGCTGGAGGGACACCCAGACAGATGTGTGTGTCTGATGCTTAGGAGTGGGATCTGGGCTAGACGTGGAGATCTGGAGTCATCCATTTGCAGACGGTACCTCAAGCCGTCGAGACCAGAGAGAGGAGGGAAGGCAGGTTCAGTCAGATAAGACAAAATAATCCAGCGGCCGGCATCAGAAACAGAAAGCAGAAGGAAGTATGGCACCAGGAATGCTGAACTTGGAAAAATTATCTGCCCGCTCACTGTTGCCTCTCCCTTTTCCCTTGTCTCGTTCCCACAGCACCCGGGTGTCCCTCTGTGGAGCAGTCGTCTTTCTGGTCATCTTTATCAGGTGATTGGCTATTTTCTCCAGTTCACCAGGTCTGACTTGTTCACTGCTCTCTCCCCAGCACCAGCCTTCCACAGTGCCTGGCCCACCGTCGGTGTTCTAGAAATATCTGTAGGTTGGGTGAATGAATCTGAACTCTGAGCAAAGTCTTAGAAAGGAAGACATAACAGGCAGAGAAGGACAAATATCATATGTTTGCACGTATAGGAGGATTAGGAGGAACCTGACGGAGGAACAAGCGGGAGAAGAAGGGCGGAAATGGTGGGGGAAAGGGAGAGAGGCAAACCATGAGAGACTCTTGAATGCTGACAAAAACTGAGGACTGATGGATGTGGGGGGGAGGGGGGATGGGCATGGAGGAGGGCACTTTGGGGATGAGCACTGAGTGTTATGTAGAAACTAATTTGACAATAAACTATTTGTAAAAAAAAAAAAAAAGAAAAAAGAAAAATCAATTTTGAAAAGCTCCATTGTAACAGGTCAATTTTATTAAATAAAGCAAATGTATTCTTGTAACATTTGTATAATTTAAAATACTTAGAATATGACTACACATATACTGAATTTTGTGGTATGTCAATTGTCTTTAAAAAGGTTTAGTAAAAATTTTACATATTAAAGAGAAAAAAGCTAAAAATGTCTATATAAAAAAAAAAAAGAAAGGAAGACATAAATATTTAGCAGGAAAGGTTTGGAATCTTGTTCTTAAGACTACGTAATAGTCTCTATTCTGCAGAATATTTTCTTCCATGTTTCTCTGCCACTCTGAAAAAGATAGCACAGGCATCCTCTGGCTCCACTTTCTGTAGGCAAGAACATGGCAGGACTGTGTGCCCAGCTGTCACACGGCACTGTCCTTCCGTACAGGCAGGCTTCTGCTCGCGTGTGAGCCATGCCCTTTTCCGAATACTCTTTTTGAAAAGTGAATATGAGGGGCACCTGGGTGGCTCAGTCGGTTAGCATCTGATTCCTGGTTTCAGCTCAGGTCCAGAACTCGCAGCTTGTGAGTTCAAGCCCCATGTCGGGATCTGTGCTGACAGTGAGGAGCCTGCTTGGGGTTCTCATTCTCTCTCTCTTTCTCTCTCTACCCCTCCCCCACTCACTCTGTCTCTCTCAAAATAAATAAAGAAACTTAAATTTTTCTCTTAAGTAAAATATTAGTTATGTGTTATTTTTAATTACTGTCAGTGATGTATGTAATTTGAAAATTAATGTTGCTGTAATTATATTGATATACTGAATAGCTATTCCCAGCTTTTTAGTCAGACAAATTAAGCCTGTCTTTATGAATTCATCTTCAAAGCCTCAAAGTGGTTAAGGAATCAGGAGTATGCAGAATTAAAGCCTTTGTACTGCGGTTAATTTAGCATGAGTTAGCAAATGTAATTGATTTTTAAAATGTGACATCAAGATTAGATTTCCCTTCAAGGAGAATTCTCAGTCTCTGTTCTCCCTTGCCAGAGGTTCCGAATTTATAACCAGCAACTCACTCGGGTCACATTCAAAACTGGAATTAAAATGATTTGTTTGGGTATGTTGACAAGGAGTTAAATACTTTAAATAGGGGACATTCTTCTTTGGGACCACAAATGCCCTGATTTTGAAAAAGAGATAAATGCAGAATCTCTTTTACTATTTCCTGTACTTTACCATATTATCTGGCCTGAAGGTGTTCAGTTTCTGTTGAGTGAATGAATGAATAAAGGTCACTATAAACAAAGCAGAGAAGTATATATATTCTTTTGATGTCTCCCATATGAAATGGTTCCCCAAGGTTTCTCACGGCCCTTCATACTCTGCTGTGGGCTTCTCTCCCAGATGCCTGCCTCCCGCCCCCCGCCACCCCACCCCACCCCCGCCTTCTGACTCCCACTCTCTCCCATTGCGTCAGCTGGTTTCTCTGCACGAAGACCTCGGATTCTCAATCTCCAGGCCTGTCCTCTGTTGTCGAGCTGGATGTGTTACTCCTGGCGAGTGCTTCTAGCATCTGACACTCAACATACCTGACTGGACACATCATCCACACCTCCAGCGTGGACTAGAATGAACAAGTCAAACCGGGTGAGCGGGAGAAGACAGCCAACAAACTAATAAATTCAAGAAATACGACTGCTCCACAGAGGGACATAGGAGGTGCTGTGGGAACAGGACAGGGAAAAGGAGAGGCAACAACAGGTTTTGCAGATCATATTCCCAGCGGTTTAATGATATAATCTATTTACTTTTAAATTTCATTTTTAAAGTAAAAATTTAAAAACATATAGACATTCAAACAGGTACTTAAACATAAAATGCCCATTATTATTTGAGCCTTTTATTGATCCTTTTCACAAAAAAAGTAATTGTGAAATATAGTATTTATTCCCAGCCCATTAAGTGTTAATTCAGTATTTCTAATTTATCTTCTCTCAAGAGGCTCCTTAAACGAAAGCGAATCACCATATAAAATCATAAGGATAACAACAATTTAAAAAGCAAACCACAGGGCACCTGCGTGGCTCAGTCAGTTAAGCGTTGGGCTCTTGATTTTGGCTCAGGTTATGATCTCATGGTTCATGAATTTGAACCCTATGTCAGGGCTCTCGCACGCATTCTCTCTTTCAAAAACTTTAAAAATAAAATAAAATAAAAAGCAAATCACTTCCCTGACAGAAGAATAGTACAGGACTTGTTGCAACTGTGGATTTTAGTATCAGACTAACACGGTTTCCAGCCCGACTTTGCCATTTACTGAGGTTTCTAAGGTTCAGTTTCTTCAGCGAACTGTTCAAACAATTAAAGACAATCCTCATGTGCAGAGGTGGACATCACGGCTTTACACACAGCGGTGTTTCCAGTGGAGGTGAGGAAAAAGGACATGCACAGA